ATCATCATCATCATCATCATCATCATCATCATCATCATCATCATCATCATCATCATCATCATCATCATCATCATCATCGATTTACATCCCACCCTTCCCTAAAAGGGCTTAGGGCGAGTCACAATAAAGTGCAGGACCAATTAAAACCAGGTACTATCATGAGGTAAAACCATTAAACGCTTAAAAGACAGCGAATTAAGTTCGGACCTGCTATAAGCCGGACTGGTGGTCACCCAGGCTCCCTCTAAGCTGTGTAGTCTTGTGAGCACTACTTCTACTTTGTGAGCTCCTCGCATTAAAGTTGAGAGCGAGCGATTTGGCCGCTGTATCAATTCGTTTGCTCTGGAGCCTTCCTGAGCAGAGACAAAAAATGTGTGAGCCGGAGGCTAAAGGCCTGTGAGGTAGCTCACACCAACTCAGCTTAGGGGGAACACTGCCTGGAGTCACACATCATCATCATCATCATCATCATCAATACTACTACTACTACTGCTACTACTGCTACTGCTACTGCTGCTACTACTACTAGTAGCAGTAGTAGTAGCAATATTATTATTATTATTATTATTACTATTACTAGTACTGCAACTGGTGTTGCTGCTGCTGCTGCTGCTGCTACTACTAGCAGCAGTAGCAGTAGTAGTATTAATAATATTATTATTAGTAGTAATAGTATTATTATTATTATTACTACTACTGCTACTACTACTACTGGTGTATTAATAATAATAATGTGTGACTAGTAGCAGCAGCAGTAGCAGTAATAATAATAATAATAATAACAACAATAACGTGTGACTAGCAGCAGCAGCAGCAGTAACAACGGGTTGCAGGATCCCGCCGCCTTCAGCTTGGAAAGGGAGATGAGCGCTGGTGAGCCGCTGGCCTTGAAGTTGGGAGCGGGCGATCGGGCTGCTGCATCGGCCACTTTGCGAGTCTGGCGGAGAGGACAAGGCGTGAGCCAGGATCCCGCCGCCTTCAGCTTGGAAAGGGAGATGAGCGCTGGTGAGCCGCTGGCCTTGAAGTTGGGAGCGGGCGATCGGGCTGCTGCATCGGCCACTTTGCGAGTCTGGCGGAGAGGACAAGGCGTGAGCCGGGGCGAAAGAACCGTGAGCGGGCTCCTCACACGCCCTCAGCTGAGAGGGACCGGGGCGGTGTTGGGAACCGCCACCAAGTTGGAGCCCACTAGCTTTCAGACCCACGACGTTCAGCTCTGGGGGGAAGCTCCCGTGGGCGCGCACCCTTCCCCACGGGCTCCCTCCCAGCGCGGCACCCCCCCCCCGGCCCTGAACCGGCCGGGAACGCAGGGGTGCGAGGGCGAATCCCGCCACTCCACCCAGTCTATACCGC